GAGAAGAAATGGGCCAGCAATAGGCCCAACACCTTATATAAGAAATTTTTAAAGAGAAAACAAGGCTGGTGGAACTAGGCTCGAAATTGAGCCCAAGAATGCGGGTAAGAGGGCAAACGGCCTGGGTTGACCTGCAGTTTTGATTGGACCAATACCAGGCCCAGCTTTTTACGGATATACCTCTAGTATTAGAAACCCATTTCTATTATACCAAACAAAAAAACTTAAAGAATAAAAATTGCTGAATGTAATAGGGCTCGAAATTGAGCCCAAAAAGTGAAAGAAAACAAGAATAACACACGTTGAACCTAGTTTCAACCAGGCTGCCTCATCTAGGCCAAAGTTAGGCCCAATTGCTTCTAACAGGAAGGCCTTCAATATTAAGGCCCTCTGAGGCTTGGTTCCATATAAAAAACATTACATAAATTCTGAAAAAATCAAAGTGTTGAACAAGCATATTATGGGCCTTAATTCATCACCACCATTAGCATTAACAATAAAAGATTGAACCCTAGACTTATTCATGAATCATCTTGAACTTAAATTGTAACGACCTGGCCGGTCGTTTTGAGAGTTGACGCCCAGATCCCCTATTAACTGCTTTCCCCGTGTTTGTTTCTGCTATTTTAATTTGCCGGGGTGTTTGGTTTTGAGTTTCGGAGTGTTTTGGGATAGTTAGTCCCTAAAAGAGAGCTTAAGTATTAGAATTTGTACCGTAGTGGGAGCTGTGTGAAGTCGGCCTCGAAATGGAATATCGTTGGTCCCATTAGCTCCGATGGGTGATTTCGGGTTTAGGAGCGTGTTCGGATTATGTTTTGGAGGTCCATAGCTTATTCAGGCGTGAAATGCCGAAAGTTGAATTTTTGAAGTTTTTGGTTCGATAGTGAGATTTTGATATTGGGGTCAGAATGGAATTCCGAAAGTTGAAGTAGGTCCGTTGTGTAATTTGTAACGTGTGCGTAAAATTTCAGGTCATTCGGACGAGGTTTGATAGACTTTTTGATCGACAGCGGAATTTGGAAGTTTTGGAAATCTTTAGCTTAGATTGGAGTGTGATTTGTGGTTTTAGCGTTGTTTGGCGTGATTCAAAGGTTGGGATAAGTTCGTATGATGTTTTAGGATTGGTTGGTAGGTTTGGTTGAGGTCCCGGGGGCCTCAGGTGAGTTTAGGTTGCTTAACGGAAGTTGAATTGGACTTAGGAAAAAATTGGAGGTTTGTAGAACTTGTCATAACCGCACCTGCGTGAATGGGACCACAGGTGCAGCGTCGCAGAAGCGGGATTAGCCCTGGCCCCAGAAGTCGCAGGTGCGAGGGATTTTGACGCACCTGAGGGATCGCAGGTGCGGTGAGTGAGTCGCAGAAACGGAAGCTGAGATTTAATGAATTATTGCAAATGCACTTTAGTTCCGCAAAAGCGGGACCGCAGGTGCGGTCCCATGGCCGCAGAAGCGGATTTGCTGGGCAGAAATAAAATATTTCGAGGGTTTGAAATCGGAAGTTAGAAAATTGATTTGGAGCTCGGGGGAGGGCGATTTTGGGAGGATTTTGAAGAGGAAATTAGTGGTTAACGATTCCTAATCCCTTTCTAGTTGTATTCCTATAATCTAATCTTAGTTTTGTCATTCAATTCCGGATTTGGGATGAAAAATTTAGGAAAAGTGGAGAAAAATTCTTAGGCCTAATTTTGGGGTTTTGATCTAGATTTTGATGTCCGATTGAAATAATTATTGGATAAATGAACTCGTGAGAGTACGAGGATTCTTAATTTATATGTTTTACCCGATTTCGAGACGTGGGCCCGTGGGCATTTTGGTAATTTTTCCTAATTTCGCGTACTAGCTTAGAATAAATTAGTGCAATCAATTACTTGAAGTTATATTTACATTATGTAATTGATTTGAATAGATTTGGGCCATTTGGAGTCGAGTTCTCGTGGCAGGAGCGGGGGTTTGGGTTGTTTTTTGAGCTGGTTTGATGTAAATGGCTTGCCTAACCTTGTGTGGGGGAACTCCCCTTAGGATTTGGTATTGTTGAAATTTGAAATACCTTGTACATGAGGTGACGATTGCGTACTTGTGCTAATTATTGAAAATCTTATTTTTATTAAGTAATTATAATTGTGTTTCCTTTCCTATTTATACTACTTCCAATTTAAGTCTGCTGTTATGTTACAACCATATTCACGTACGTTAGTTTATGCAGCAATTTAGTCAACATAAATCCAAGAAGAGATTATCTTTTATATGATAAGAAGTTAATCCTATTGGTCTTAAATGATACAAAGGTGTATAAGGGTGGTTAACAAGTATTAAAAGTTAAACGAATCAAAGATGTTGTCATCCGTATTTTCGGGTAAAGCTAGAGGTACTTAATACACTCGGAGGTCTTGTTTTAAGGTATTTGAATCATATAATATCTGTATCATAGTCTTGAAGTCAAACGTGTTATGAAACAAAAGTCGAGAGAGTTGTCGCAACTTAGGTTCATAGTTTTGCTTAAACTTTAGGTTAAATGTTATTAAGCTTTTCCCCTATTGTACTTGGAATTACGGGGTGATCTACCCACTAAATTGAAGATCTATGAGTCTAGTTTCCAACGTATTATACTGTTTATCAATACGACATCGGAGTAGAGAGATATAGTCATTTTTGCAAGACTGCACAGGCTGCTAGATGACAAGTAGGTGTGTCACCTACTTGGTTAAATGATAGCCTCAAAGGAGGCAATTTCGGGTCGGCCAAAGAGCCCATGTATAGGCTTATCTCCTGAAATATAACCCTCATTGTATATCACAAATAACCAGACCTTATCCCCTGAAAACTTCCTCCCAAAAATTATCCACAAACCCTAATCGATTTTCCCTCTCTTTCAAGTTCTAATTGGGTTTAAAACCTAGAGTTTGAAGAACCAAGGGAAGGGATGAGTTATGCAACAAGTAAGGTAAGTTTAATGCTCTCTTTCATACATGTTTTCTTCTATGAATTCATGGTAATTCGTTCTATACATGCAAGAACTCACGGAACAGTGATCGGAAGACGTGAGTTCGAGTTATTCACTTGTAGCAGACTGTTGACTGTTTTGTGTTGTTGTTGGGCTGTGTGTTTTACTACTGTTTTGTGGAGTTTTGGAGGAGGAAGGGTGTGGATAAACACCATACAAATGTATGGTCGTGGACTGGTCATTCGTCGAAACATTTCTGGGTCGTTTGACACGACTACGATGGCCGTCGTATGTATGAAGTGATTAGGTTGTGTGTGGACTGTTTTGGGAGGCTCAATATGATTATTATTGATGTTCTTTGGGCTGTGTGGTGATTGTTTGGAATTGTGTGAAGTCATATATCTTGGGGAGGTGCTTTCCGTTTCATCGTAAAATAGGTTGTGGTCGATACATAATAGTTATGACGCTTGAATGATAACGATAAAATCGTTTCTCTTATTGTAGACTAAGGAGTCATGACAATTGCATAGCTTGAGGTTGGGAAGTATGTACAAGGTATGTGAGTCTATCCCTTTCCTTATTTTGCACGACTCCGATTGTACATAATATAATGAACGAGCTTCTAAAGATACTCTACTCTTAGAAGCTAGCACTACTTACATTGCTTCCCCTTTTTATGGAACGATTGATGTTGTTGTTTCTTCTCTTACACTTATGTTATGAATGTTGTTGGTACTTCCTGATTCTTATAAGGTTCATAGTGAAGAGTTAGTCCTAATAACGTGTACAGAGGATATCGGCCTTACGCCACTTCGAAAGGTTTAGAACGTGATTCCATGAGTCGAGCATGCATTATATATATGTATCTATTTTACTCTACTGAGCCACTCTATAGTCGGCCGGGTACGGCACTATTGTGCAACAACTGATCAGTTGGGTTTTACCGAGCTCCACGTGGCCGGGTACGATACTACCGAGCCTTATGATGGTCGAGTACGTTTTTACCGAGCCTATTATGGCCGGGTACGATATGATGATGATGATGCCCACAGAGGCATATGTTTTAAAAATTTATGTATATATACATATGTATCATGCATTTCATGTCAGTAGCCCTTAGAGGTACGCATATGTTACATGTTGTATATTCTCTATCCCTGCTTACATTACTGTTCGTACTTATGGTTCCCTGCCTTACGTACACAGTACTTTATTCGTACGGACGTCCTTTTATTTGTGGACGCTACATGTCGTGTTGCAGGTCCTGAAAGACAGGCAGGTGCAGCTCCCCTACCTCAGTAGGCTGTCCAGTTCATCGGTGATTGGCGAGATCCCTTCTCCGGACTTGCCGTGGTCTTGGTATGCATTTCTGTTATAGACATTATGGGTATGTCGGGGCCCTTTTCCGACAATGTTGCAGCACTTTTGTTCCTTTAGAGGCTTATAGAGAGGTGTCGACTCATGTATATTTTGGTATGCCTTGTCGGCTGAATTTTTGTTGTATAGTCTTCATGGCAGTGTTGTAGCTCGTACCTTATATATAGTTTCTTGATTGTCTGGTCATCCCATGTTATGTATGTTCATGCCATCATATTTTATTGTTGGTTGTCCATGATCCATGTCTACCATTTATATTGATCTCGTCAGCTCTAAAAGAAAATAAAGAAGGTTAGATAAAATGTACGTTGGTGCTCGGCAAGTATGGCCGGGTGCTAGTCCTGGCCCTCCAGTTTGGGTCGTGATAAACTTGGTATCAGAGCAAGTCTGTCCTAGGGATTGTCTATGAGCCGTGTCGAGTAGAGTCTTGATTATGGATATGTAGTGCGCCACATTTATAATCAAGAAGCTACATGACATCTAGGGTTGTTACGTTCTTCCTGAATCTAGATCATGCGTAGAGTTGAGTCGTAAGCGTTCGTATTTAATATTCACCTTGTTTACTTTCAGCGATGCCTTCAACTAGGAAGCAAACAATTAGTAGACGGCTTGATACAGCTGCGGGAGAGGGTACCCGTCACGTGCCCCAAGCCAAAGCAGGCCAAAGTAAGGCTCAGAGTGAGATGTCGTCTCATACCTCATCTACTCCATGTCATCCAGAGAATATTAGGAGGAACCAAGCACCACCAGATCCTCCGCCTGGCCCTACAGACCAGGATATGCGGAGTGCGGTGAAGTTGTTGACTAGCTTGCTAGCTGCTCAGGCTCAGAGGCAGAATACTGGTGTTGATAAACCGGCTAGTACGAGAGTTCGTGATTTTATTAATCTAGAACCTCTACTGTTTACCGGATACGACCTGAAGGAGGACCCACAGACTTTTATTGATCAAGTTCATCGTACATTGTGGGTTATGCATGCTACTGATACAGAGGCAGTAGAGTTGGCTTTTTATCGCTTACAGGATTTAGCGGTTTTCATGTATGATAGTTGGGAGAGATCCAGGGGTCCAAACGCTCCTCCAGTTGTGTGGAAGGAATTTTCTTAGGCATTTCTTCGTCACTACTTCCCAGTTGAGATACGACGAGCTAGAGCTGATATGTTCTTGAACCTTAGACAAGGTAATATGAGTGTGCGAGAGTATAGTATGCAGTTTGATTTGTTAGAAAGGGATGCTCCCCATATGGTGGTCGAGATGAGTGATCGGGTGCATCTGTTCATGAACGGGTAGGGACCACATATGATAAATGAGTGCACGACAGCCTCCTTGGTGGAGGGCATGGATATTTCCCGTATTCAAGCTTATGCCCAGACCCTGGAGGATCGTAAGCGCCAGCAGAGGGCATATAGGCAGCAAGACAAGGGCCAGCATAAGAGGGCGAGATTTGCAGGGTATTCTGATGAAGTTAGAGGCAGCGTCAGGCCCCAGTCTTCTAGGAGTTCGGCACCACCTGTAGCTAATGCTCCTCTACAGTTTCAGAGGCCTCGATATGATCGATTTACCTATTCTGGTTAGGGTCAGGGTTCGCGGGCATCAGGCTCGCAACATCACAGGGATACTAGTCAGACGAGACCCCCAACACCACGTTGTGATCAGTGCGGCAAGGCCCACTTTGGACAGTGCCATCAGGGTTCTGATGCGTGCTATTCTTGCGGACAGCCTGGCTATATGATGCGGGATTTCCCTTACAGAGGAGGTGGTAGTATGGCTCAGCCCACTGGATCTATGTCTGGTTCTTCCTCATCAGTTTGACCTCTAGCACGGGGTTTTCAGCAGTCGAGGGGTCGTGGTTGAGGTAGAGGTGCAGTGCCAAGTTCGAGTGGTGCTCAAAATCGAAACTATGCTCTAGTAGGTTGACAGGATCTTGAGTTGTCTCCAGATGTTGTTACATATATATTGTCTGTGTTTTCTTATGATGTATATGCGCTGATTGACCCGGGATCTACATTATCATATGTTACACCCTTTGGGCTAATAAGTTTGGCGTTGAACTTGAATTGATAAGTAAAGCCCTTGCGGTAACTACTCCGATAGGAGATTTTGTGATTGCTAGAAGGGTATATAGAGGTTCCACTCTTATGATTTGTAGTCATCAAGCCTCGACAAATTTATTTGAGTTAGAAATGGTTGATTTCGATGTGATAATGGGAATGGACTGGTTGGCCTCATGCTATGCAAATGTTGACTGTCGTACAAAGATGGATAGGTTTGAATTTCCTGGTGAACCTGTCATTGAATGGAGGGGGAACATTGCTACACCGAAAGGTAGCTTTATTTCCTATCTTAAGGAAAGGAAAATGATCTCAAAAGGTTACAATTATCATCACGTTTGCGTTAGGGATGCAGAGGCGAAGCCGCCTACTCTACAATCAATCCCCGTGGTCAATGAATTTCCAGATGTTTTCCTAGATGAACTCCCAGGCCTTCCTCCTGAAGGGAGATTGAGTTTAGCATTGATGTGTTGCCTGACACTCAATCGATCTCTATCCCTCTATAAAGAATGGCCCGGGTAGAGTTGCGAGAGTTTAAGAGGTAGTTAAAGGACTTGCTGGATAAGGGCTTCATTAGGCCTAGCACTTCACCTTGGGGTGCGCCAATTTTGTTCGTGCAGAAGAAAGACGGGTCATTAAGAATGTGTATCGATTATCGATAGTTGAATAAGTTTACTATAACGAACAAGTATCCACTTACAAGGATTGACGACCTTTTATACCAACTCCACGGTGCCAAGTATTTCTCCAAGATTGACTTACATTCAGGGTATCATCAGGTGAGGGTTAAGGAGAATGATGTTCCAAAGATAGACTTCCGGAAAAGATATGGGCACTTTGAGTTCCTGGTGATGTCGTTCGGGCTAACAAATTCCCCAACAACTTTTATGGATCTCATGAATACTGTATTCAGGCCCTATCTTGATGTGTTCGTCATTGTATTCATTGAAGACATTCTGGTGTATTCTCGTTTGGAGGCGGAACGTGCAGGCCACTTGCGGATAGTATTACAGACGCTTCAGGATCGTAAGCTATATGCTAAGCTCTCCAAATGTGAATTCTGGCTGAACTCAGTAGTTCCTCAACCAGGTGATATCTGACAAGGGTATTAGTGTCGACACTCAGAAGATCGATGCAGTAAAGAATTGGCCGAGACCTATAACACCATCAGAAGTCCGTAGCTTCCTGGAGCTAGCCGGATATTATAGGTGATTTGTTGAAGGGTTTTCCTCTATATCAGCACCATTGACTATGTTAACACAGAAAGCTAACATTTTCCAGTGGTTTGACGCTTGTGAATGTAGTTTTTAGAAGCTGAAAAATTGATTGACATCCGCACCAGTGCTCACTCTCCCTGAAGGAACAGAAGGTTATGTGGTATATTGTGATGCATCAGGTATAGGTTTGGGGTGCGTATTGATGCAGCGTGGGAAGGTGATTGCTTATGCATCAAGACAACTGAAGAAGCATGAAAAGAATTATCCAACCCATGACTTGGAATTGACTGCAGTAATATATGCTTTGAAGATATGGCCGCACTACTTATACGGCGTCCATGTTGACATCTACACAGATCACAAGAGTTTACAATACATCTTCAAGCAGAAGTAGTTGAATTTGAGGCAGCGTAGGTGGCTTGAATTACTGAAAGACTACGGCGTCGAGATATTGTATCATCCCGGTAAAGCCAATGTTGTGGCAGACACTCTCAACCGTAAGTCAATGGGAAGCTTAGTACATATTGAGGCAGGTAGATGGGGGTTGACAAAAGATCAGCTAGCCAATATGAGGATCATATTGTTAGACTCTGATGACGGAGGTGTTACGGTACAAAATACATCGGAATCATCTTTGGTAGCCGAGGTAAAAGCACGGCAATATGAAGATCCTATCTTAGTACGATTGAGAGAGAACATTCAACAATGTAAAATTACAGCTTTTGAGATCGAAGGAGATGGGGCACTGAGATGCCAGGGCCGATTATGTGTGCCTAGTGTGGCAGGGTTGCGAGAGAAGATTATGAATGAGATTCATCAATCCCGATATTCCATCTATACCGGCTCGACAATGATGTATCATGATGTCAAGGAGCAGTATTTGTGGGATAACATGAAGAAGTCCATTGCAAAATTTGTAGCCTAGTATCCCAATTGTCAACAAGTAAAGATAGAACATCAGAAACCCGGTGGATTGCTTCAGAATATAGAGATTCCGACCTGGAAATGGGAGGTGATTAATATGGACTTCTTTATTGGGTTACCTCGCTCTTATCATAAGTTTGACTCCATTTGGGTAATAATTTATCGACTTACAAAATGTGCCATTTTTTGCCAGTTAAGACAACTTACACGGCTGAAGATTATGCGAAGTAAGATGTACAAGTTATAGAGGATCTATCATATGAAGAAGTGCCAGTGACTATAATAGATCGACAAGTCCGCAAGCAGAGAACAAAAGATGTATCTTCCGTCAAAGTATTGTGTAGGAACAAGAATATGGAAGAAATGACATGAAAGTAGAAGAGGAGATGAAGTCTAAATATCCTTACCTTTTTAGAATTAGGATAACAAGGATGCTGGTGGAACGCATGATACATTAGAAGGTGAAACGACTCTATGAGGTAAGCAATAACCTGAGAATACTTTTCCTTAATACAAAATGGTGATATGCAGATAATGTACATATCCATAATTCTTTGTGTAGCCTTGTGAGGCCATACATTGAGCTTAACTGCTTGCAAGCTTTGCTAGTGACCATTTTATAGAGGAAAATTGACCGAAAATTTCCGTTGGAATCCACGATGATTTGGACTCTCCATAAACCCTTACATTCGAGGACGAATGTTCCTGGGGGGGGGGGGGATGTTACAACCCATATTCACGTACGTTTTTTTACGCCGTAAGTTAGTCAACATAAATCCAAGAAGAGATTATCTTTGAGATGATAAGAAGTTAATCCTATTGGCCTTAAATGATACAAAGGTGTATAAGGGTGGTTAACAAGTATTAGAAGTTAAACGAATCAAGGATGTTGTCATCCGTATTTTCGGGTAAAACTAGAGGTGATTAATACACTCAAGAGGTCTTGTTTTAAGGTATTCAAATCATATAATATCCGTATCATAGTCTTGACGTCAAACGAGTTATGAAACAAAAGTCGACAAGAGGTTTCGCAACTTAGGTTCATAGTTTTACTTAAACTTTAGGTTAAATGTTATTGAGCTTTTCTCCAAATGTACTTGGAGTTACAGGGTGATCTACCCACCAAAATGAAGATCTATGAGTCTAGTTTCCAACTTATTAAAGTGTTTATCAATACGACATCGGAGTAGAGAGATAAAGTCATTTTTGCAAGACTGCACAGACTGCTAGGTGACAAGTAGGTGTGTCACCTTCTTGGTTAAATGATAACCCAAAAAGAGGCAATTTCGGGTCGGCCAAAGAGCCCATGTATAGGCTTATCTTCTGAAATATAACCCTTATTGTGTATCACAAATAACCAGACCTTAACCCCTGCAAACTTCCTCCCAAAAATTATCCACAAACCCTAATCGATTTTCCCTCTCTTTCAAGTTCGAATTGGGGGTAAAACTTAGAGTTTGAAGAACCAAGGGATGAGATGAGTTATCGAACAAGTAAGGTAAGTTTACTGCTCTCTTTAATCCATTTTTTCTACTGTGAATTCATGGTAATTCGTTCTATACATGTAAGAACTTACGGGACGGTGATCGAAAGTCGTGAGTTCGAGTTATTCACTTGTAGCAGATTGTTTTGTGGACTGTTTTGTGTTGCTGTTGGTCTGCGTGTTTTTTTACTGTTTTTTGGAGTTTTGGAGGAGGAAGGGTGTGGACAAAAAACATATATATGTAGAGTTGTGGGCTGTTCGTTTGTCGTAACATTTTCGGGTCGTTTGACACGACTATGATGGCCGTCGTATGTATGAAGTGATTAGGTTGTGTGTGGACTTTTTTTGGAGGTTCAATATGATTATTACTGATGTTGTTTGGGCTGTTTGGTGATTTTTTGGAATTGTGTGAAGTCATATATATAGGGGAGGTGCTGTCCGTCATCGTAAAATAGGTTGTGGTCGATACATAACAGTTATGACGCTTGAATGATAACGATAGTATCGTTTCTCTTATTATAGACGAAGGAGTCGTGACAATGGCATAGCTTGAGTTTGGGCAGTATATACAAGGTATGTGATGCTATCCGTTTCCTTCTTTTGCACGACTCCGATTGTACATAATGTAATGAGCGAGCTTCCAAAGATACTCTACTCTTAGATGCTAGCAGTACTTACATTGCTTCCCCTTTTATAGAACGATTGATGTTGTTGATTCTTCTCTTACTCTTATGTTATTAATGTTGTTGGTACTTCCTGATTCTTAAAAGGTTCATAGTGAAGAGTTAGTCCTAAGAACGTGTACAGAGGATACCGACCTTACGTCACTCCGAAAGGTTTAGAACGTGATTCCATGAGTCGAGCATGCATTATATATATGTATCTATTTTACTCTACTGAGCCGCGCTATAGTCGGCCGAGTAAGGCACCTATTGTGCAACCACTGATCAGTTGGGTTTTATCGAGCTCCACGTCGCCGGGTACGATACTACTGAGCCTTATGATGGTCGGGTACGTTTTTACCGAGCCTATTACGGCCGGGTACAATATGATGATGATGATGCCCACAAAGGCGTATGTTTTAAAAGTTTATGTATATATACATATGTATCATGCATTTCATGTCAGTAGCTCTCA